GTCTCGAACCCGTGGGCTCAGGCAATCCACTCACCTCAGCCTCCCAAAGGTGCGGGATTCCAGGCTGAGCCACTGAGCCTGGCCTATAGTTGAGTCTCTTAAAAATTTAGAATAAGTCTGCCAAGAGTGGTGTCTTAATTGATGTATTTAGTCCATTCATATTTATTGTAATTACTGATATAATCGGAATTAAGTCTACCATCATGCTGTTTGTTTCTGTTTTTCTCATATGTTCTCCATTCCTTTATTCCTCTCTTCCAATATTTTTTGATCAAACAAATATTTACTATTCCGTTTCATTTCCTCTTTTCAAAATTAGTGATAACCCTACAGACTATAATATGGATGCTTGTCTTACTGCAATCGAACTTAAATTGACACTTTGATTAATTTCTAAACAGGGCAAAAGCCTTACTTTAGGTTAACTTTATTTACCTTCTCCATCCCTTTGAGATATTATTGTCATTTACTTTACTTCTACCTTTCATTATCTTCCTTTCTCCTTTCTTTTTTCTACACAAGAGCATATCCACTAATTTTCTACTTTTATTTTTTATTTTTTTTTTAATTGGAGTCTCACTCTGTCGCCCAAGCTGGAGTGCAGTGGCATGCTCATGACCACCACAGCCTCGACCTGCTGGGCTTAGGCGATCCTTCGGCCTCAAACTTCCAAGTAGCTGGAACTACAGGCATGTGCTACCGTGCCTGGCTTATTTTTTTTAAAAATTTCTTGTAGAGACGAGGTCTCACCATGTTGCCCAGGCTGATCTCGAACCCACAGGCTCAGGCAATCCTCTCACCTCGGCCTGCCCAAGTGCTGGGATTACAGGATTGAGCTACTGCGCCCGGCCCAATTATCTACTTTTAAAGGAAGTTTTCTGCTTGATTCCATTCTGTCTGCTTTTTCTGATTGAGCCTTCCAATATTTATTGAGCACACTCAATGCAGTGTTGGTTCAGATACACGATAGTGAATAAGACACATCCTTTGTGCCCACAAAGAGAGCACAGTCGAATGGAAGAGGCAGACATTTTTATAGCTAAATACATGGTGGAGCAAGAAAAGTTATGTGAAAACAGAGAATGGAAAGAGCAATTCTAAATGGAGGCAGAAAGAAAAAGATAGAGGTATCACTAGACGAGGGATGAGATCATCGATTTATTTTCTGGACAATCCAATTTATTTTCTCTTCAATCCTGACACTTAATAACCCTGGTGAAAATCTGGAGTTTCTCCTCCCAGGTACAAGCAAATACAGAACTCACAAAGTTCAACCTCCCATTTGAAAGTACTTGAAATCTGATCATGTTAGTGACAATTCTCATTTTATAGAGATTCCACCATTATATACACACACACACACACACACACACACACACACACACACACACACACACACACACACACAACCTCAAC